CCACCACCACTTCACTTGCTGCGACCCCCCCCCCCCCCGCATCACTGCACTGCTGCAATCCCTACCACTGCACTAATGCAACCCCCTACCACTGCATTGAACTGTGCTAGTTATTAAATTTAATTCCCATCACAATCATCACCACTTAACTGGTATCATTAATTAGATATCCTTAACATATTATCATATGACCCGCTTCCCACTTAGGATTCGAACCAACACCAGTAAGAAATACCAGACCTAACAAGCCAACATCTAGTAGCCTCGGCTAATTCGCTTCACACAATTACATCAAAATTGACTATCATAAGTTATTATCTGGGACATCAACATTTCGCCTTTATGTGCAGTTGATATGAGTTGTAGCAAAAAATCTAAAATCTGAAAAGGTAAATAATTTTATAACAAGTTATTTTTATATCGAGATAAATTTTATTGTTTTTTTTCGGCAGCAAATCCACATTTAAAATCAATGAGTGTGTAAATGTGTAAAAGTTTAAGTGTGCAAGTGTATAACTGTGTGAATGTGTAAGTCTATAAGTGTGTAAGTGTTTTAGTAAGTGTGTAAATGTGTAAGTATGGTGTGTAAGTGTGTAAAAGTATTAACGTGTATAAGAAAGTAAGTGTGTAAACGTCTAAGTGTACAAATGTGCAATTGTATAAGTGTGTAAATGTGTAAGTGTGTAAGTATTTTAGTTAGTATGTGTGTAAATGTGAATATGTTCTGTAAGTGTGTAAAGGTGTAAATGTGTAAGTGTAAAAATGTATAATAAAATAAGTGTGTAGGTGTGTACGTAAGTGTGTAAGTGTATAAGTGTGTAAGTTTGTGACTGTGTCAATATGTGAGTGTGTGAAAGTATGTAATTTCATGAGAGTGTAAATGTGTAATAGTGTATACGTTTGAACACGAGTACGAAAAGGGTGAGTGTGTCAGTGTGTACTAGTGTTAATGTATTCGTGTGTAAGTGTGTGTGTCTCAGTATGTTGTATGTTAGTTTGTAGGTGTGAAAGTGTGCAAGTAGGTATTGTGTAAGTGAGTGTGTAATTGAGTAAATTTGTAATGATGTTAGTTTAAGAGTTTAAGTGCCTTAATGTGTAATTGTTGTTTGTGTGTAATTGTGTGAGTGTATGACTCCTCTAAAACGAAATACAACAACGTCTTTTATATTCTAAAACTATTAACTGAGTTATTTCCCTTATCAGCAATGACTATAATTAATATAATTTTCTCTGAAATTAGTATTGCCACTGTAATGATTCAAAGTCAATAAATGGCTTGCATAATTTACTGTGATATCATGCCCATATAAGTAGAAGTGGTTCTAATCAGGGCCAGAGTTGGCGGAGAACCTAACATTTATAATGTATCTTAGAGTTGATACATGGTAACAAATTACCAGTACAATTTATGATTGCCAGATAACAATGATGTTGTGACACTGTAAGAAAGGCTGTAAAACCGTAACTTTACATGCCATGCCTTTGAACCTATGCTAGGCACACATACACATATAAGAACGCAAACAATGAGCACTTTCAGCAATGTTTAATGTTTTAAGAAGCATGCTATAAATACAAAATAAAGACTGGCAGTCAATTCTGAGATGATATAGGACTATCTTCAATTATAAATACATTTTTAACTAACTGGCCTCAGTTGTTGTCATTAATGATGTAAGAATATTCTTTGCTTATCATGTTGCTTATCATTACAAGTAATGTTGACGTGTTGCATCATTGGCCTGTAAGGAATGCTTCATATTTAAAACAATTCAATCCATATGAAAATATTATCTAGTATAAAAAACTATTAAATATCATCATTGTCATTTCACTATGGTTTAACATAAATTTAGTGTAATATATATATATATATATATATATATATATATATATATATATATATATATATATATATATATATATATATAATTTGATAAAGAGAAAAATGAAATGACAATGAAACTATAAAGTTTACAATAAATTAAACTTTCATTCATGTCATTCTCTTACATTACAATAATTTGAATTGAAAATGAAATCCTGACACTCCTAGTATTACAATAGCATAGATGTAACTTTCATTCCTGCCATTCTCTAACATTACAATAATTCAAATAAACATTGCATCCCTGGCACTCCTAACACATTACAGTGAGTTCAAATAAAACTACACTCATATCAATCTTTTGATGATAAATTCAACTTACACTTTCTCTCTTACAGTAGAAAACAAATTATATGAAATACATGAACTGCTTTTAGAGATAATATTTAAAGAATTGTGTTTTTTATATGAAACATTCCTTTCCCTAAAGTTGCATAGACAGATTTGCAAAATGACTCCTCTAACAAAATATAGCATAAAAAATAGGGAAGGATTTCAAGTAAAACTACCTAATTATTTACAACCAGTAAAAACAATTAACTTATTACACATAACATAAAGAGAGGACTACATATATACACAACTCTCTCACCTCCCCAATCCCACCCTTAACACCCCCACCAATCCCGACATGGGCATGCTGGTTTCTATATGGTATAGGCTTTACCAGTAGATGTGTTGGAACCTGCCCCTCCGCTGACTTGGTGTTGACAGAGCTGTGGACCTGTCGGCTGTACCCATTGTATCATACCAGACGTTAGCCCTAATTCCTAGCACAGGTCAGTGTCGATAATGCATCACATAAAGTTGTGAATATTGCCATATATTTCCTAAATCTTTGATGAAAGTGCATAATTATGAAAGGTCGCTTCATTAGTTCAGAGACTAATCAGCATTTGCTTCTACTAAAGGTGCCCCATAAACTTTTTAGTTATAGCTGCTTGACAAGAACACTAAAATATCTTAACAAGAAAATAGGAAATTATAAAACACTATTTTTTTAGCCCAGCTTGTTAGAAACAATTCTTGACTTGGAAAAAAAATAAATGTATATTTTCCTAAATCATTTGGGGCTGTCTCAGATTGTCATTTCTGAGAAATGGTAGAAAATACATTCACTATAACCTATTGATAATTATAAGTCTTACTGTACATCTTTAGGAATTTCCTTTTTTAAAAAATATAGAAATTCTGTGCAAGCGTGGCCTGAATAATGAAAACGGCTGACAGAGATTAAACTTAATTTTAGATGTATCTAACATTCATGCCCTAATGTAGATACACCTAGAATCAGGTAATAACTCAGTTATAAATAATTGTAGAGTTTTTTTTTTATATTAAGGAATTTTCTTTTTACTAAATTCTGTGCAAGTGTGGCCTGAATTATGAAAACGGCTGACAGAGATTAATCTTAATTTTAGATGTATCTAACATTCATGCCCTAATGTAGATGCACCTCGAATCAGGTAATAACTCAGTTATAAATAATTGTAGAGGAATTTTTTTATATTTTAAGGAATTTTCTTTTTTCTAAAAATTGGTATGATAATATAGAGTGGTCAGTGCCTTCACAACTAGAGGCCATGAAAAAATGTGAGAGAGGTTAAACTTAAGATTTATCCAACATTCATGCCCTAATGCGGTCATATCTTAAGTCAGGTTATGGACAACTCGATAATAAATAATAACATTTTAAGGATTTTTCTTTTTTTAAATGGGTTTGATAATATAGACTGTTTAGTGTCAGTGCGGCCTGAAAAATATAGTTGTCTTCAGCATCCCTAAATGCCTTCACAACTAAAGGCCATGAAAACAGCTGATTAAACTTAACTTTAGACGTTTCTAGCATTCCTCCCCTAATGCCAGAAATATCAAAAGTCAGGTTGTGGACAGTCTATACTATTTAGTACCATTACTATTATATTTATATATTTCTTTTCTTAAAAATTATGATTTCTTATCAATTTTACAGGTTGACTATTTTTCTTTCTATTAAAACAAGCTAGAGAGCCACTGGTCACTATTCTTTTACTAACAAATACAGTGTAAATGGAACAATTGCTACCACATTGCCAAAGAGAATAAACTACTCTTTATATTGAAAAAGGCCATAAAGGACAAAGGTTTTTTTCTTTAGTTTATGTCCAGTTCTCACAGGATTTAAATATTACATCATGTCTGCAAGTCAAGAATATTACTTGTTAAAAGTTTTACATTTAGTTAACTAAATACTTTGATGATGTTAGCAACATTAACACCACAACAAGCCCCTGGTTCCTTTCCCTTTCCTAAAAGAGACTATGTTTCTATTTGTGCATTGTAACAGGAAAAAAAAAAGTGAAACAGCTTGCACATTACTAATGAAACGACCTGTTTACAATCAGGCACTCTGCTTACATAGACAAGGAAACTGCAATATTCACAAACGTATGACACATTATCCAGACTGACAAGGCTAGGGTTCAGGCATTATCTGGTAATCAACAATGGGCCAGCCGAGCAGGCCACAGATGTCAACACACTCGCAGCGGAGGTTGGCAGGCGGCCTGCTCTATTGAGCAGACCTCTCCAACTGTTCATCTCCCTGGTGTGCCACCATTACCAGCTGCCCCCTCTTCCACACCCACCTTCCGTCAGGATAACCCTCCCCTGACCCACAAAAACCATACCCTGCATCCCCACCATCCATCTAATAGAAAGAACAATGACAGTGAAACAAAAGAAAAACAAAAGGTGTAATAAGTTAATTGTATATCACCCACCAGATCCTCCCCCTTTAAAACATAACTAAATTTTACTTGAATTCCCTCCCTTTACAAAAATAAATAAATAAATACTATTACATTTTCCAAATATTAATCTTGAACATCCAGAAGTTTGTTGAGATCCTGGCTTCTGCTTGAAAATGTCTTTTCTTGAAGATTTCACACAGTTGCTGTTGTTGACTGTAATTTTAAGTAACAGATGTTCAATATTATCTTTTTTCAAGCTAGCTAGTTTAAAACTGAAGTTCAAAGCTAATTCTCAAACAAAAAAAGTATTAAACATACCTTGATTAAAGAGCCTCTTGAGGAAGGTTAAGAATGTTATGACATTTCACAATTTTTAAAACTTTGAACATCCAGAAGAGGGTTGAAATCCTGGCTTCATCTTGAAATTGTCTTTTCTTGAAGATTTCACACATGTTTTATAGACTGTAATTTGAAATAACAGATGTTTAATATCTTTTTAAAGGTTGCTAGTTTAAAACTAAAACTCAGAGCTAGTTCTCAAAAAATTCCCTCCCTTTACAAAAATAAATAAATAAATACTATTACATTTTCCAAATATTAAGCTTGAACATCCAGAAGTTTGTTGAGATCCTGGCTTCTGCTTGAAAATGTCTTTTCTTGAAGATTTCACACAGGTGCTGTTGTTGACTGTAATTTTAAGTAACAGATAATCAATATTATCTTTTTTCAAGCTAGCTAGTTTAAAACTAAAGTTCAAAGCTAATTCTCAAACAAAAAAAGTAGTAAAACATACCTTGATTAAAGAGCCTCCGGAGGAAGGTTAAGAATGTTATGACATTTCACAATTTTTAAAACTTGAACATCCAGAAGAGGGTTGAAATCCTGGCTTCATCTTGAAATTGTCTTTTCTTGCAGAATGTGTTTAATAGACTGTAATTTAAAATAACAGATGTTCAATATCTTTTAAAAGGTAGCTAGTTTAAAACTAAAACTCAGAGCTAGTTCTAAAAAAAAAAGTAATAAAGCATACCTTGATTAAAGAGCCCATTGGGTTGAGGAAAGTTAAGAATGTTATTTCATAATCGTCTGGATGATTGCTGACATTCTGTTTATGGACACAATTTTTAAAACTTGAACATCCAGAAGAGGGTTGAAAATGTCTTTTCTTGAAGATTTCACACATGTGTTCTTGTAGACTGTAATTTAAAGTAATAATTTGTTTTACAATCTTTTTTTACATCAATTCTCAACATCCAGCTGGTATTTTATTTTTAATTGTCCTTTACTAATGTGAAATCTGGTGCATTTTTTTTGTAAAAAAAATAGATACAGTTTAAAATTGACCTCATATTTTAGAAAATAAAAACCTTTTAACATACCTAAAAATTAATACACATCGTGGAATTTGGAAATAAATCAATCTACTGATGGACTTCAGTGACCTGCTAGGATGTAATTTTATGTCTGCAGGGGAAAAAACTCATACATGATTAGAAAAATACATAAGGTAACTAAAACCTAACCAGAAGGATCTGGCTGATGTTTGACAATGTCTTTATTGTGAACTTGTTACCGCTCATTGCTGAGGATTGAAATGTAAAAAAAAAATTAACAACAATCTGTAGAAATGTCATATCAAAGAAAACTTTAAGACTGTTCTAATAAAATTGATTTTGAAAAAAAAGGCCTACTGAAATATGGGTTTCTCGAGGTTTGAACATAAATGTACTGTTGAACTTCGTTGAAGACTGTTGGACTCGTGTGCTTGTTGGCTTAATGAATTACTTCTGGTTGATGTGCAAGACAAAAGGATACATGTTGTTAATTATAAACATACTTTTTAAAAATTAAATAAATGAAACACATCAGAATATAACTTTAGCTTTAAGACTAAACTTTTACAAATAATTTTAAAATATAGACAGCAACTGAAAAATTAATGCTTGAAAAAAATGTATTTAAATGTTTGCATAGGCCTACCTAAAAATCATGGGCATCTCAAAAGGTGTGGAAAAGAAACTGCTGTTGGACTTTGCTGCTGATGTTTGCCAGAAGTGCCACCCCCCCCCCCCCCACACTTAATCTATGCCCATAAAATGCTACCCAAGTTTACACTAACTGTCAGCCACCAACTCAGTAGAATTGCGGATAGGTTGTCCATGTCTTTAAGCTTTTCCACTTAAGTAAGTGACCAAGTTAGTGCCAAGCTTAAAGTGCTCCACTGAACAATGTGTCAACCACAAAATGTTATCACAAAAGAGTTGTCGAAGCCCTTGAGTTTTTCACATAAGTGGGTCACAAAGTCAGTAGATGCACAAAATGCTTGCCCTACAAATACCCATTCCTTTTCACAAACATCATTATCTAACGATGAACTGTAACATCTTGCCTGAAACATATGCAGGAAGGAATGCGACTAAAAAAACCAACGAAGCAAAGAAAGCAACTTGTTAGCCTACAAGATAACAATTTTAACAAAGTGTAGAGTGTAACATTAAACCTACTTAAATTAGGCCTACTGCATTTTATTAAACTAAGCGGCATCTGTAGGTCTATTTAAGTAAAACCTATAACGTTTTAAAATAAACATTGTATAAATTATAAAATCGGTCTATTTTATTTTCAGTAATTAAATTGAGATATAAATATAGGCCTAAATATGTAGTATTATGTAGGCCTATGCCTATAGACTATAGGATAGATTAGGCCCTACTGTAATATTGTAGGCTTAAAGAAGGTATAAGGACCAGGGAGGTCTCTTCTTGTACGATAAGACGAGCCTAAATGTTAAAAGTTAATACAATGTTATGCCTAATAATACTAAATGTCTATAGATAGACCGTTTATTTTTAAATTTACACAGATCTAGTACGCTTATATGACAGGCCAAGGCCTCTTATATGTCATATGACACTATAATATTTTTACAAAGTTTACCTTAACTAACTTAGTTAATATTAAGTAACTAGATTCTAGCCTAATATACGTTGTATAAGTTTACCTTCATCTTGATATTGATACCACTGAAGCCAAGCAGCTGTTAAAGATATCTAAAAATCGGGCGCCAACACTGAGTATTTAATCATTCACACATCAACATTAGCCTAAGCTAATGTGTTTTAGTCTGTCACGTGATGTAAACAAACAGATAGCTCAGCAGGGTAGGTGCCGGCTGTGTGAATGTGTTCAATTTTTGACAGCTAAAGCCTAGATCTATTGGTCAAACGGTTAGAGTATCCCAGTGTTCCTTCAATCATAGTTGGCGCACACTTGAAGTCATAATGAAACTACATGGTCTAGATACAATCCAACCTACACACATAATAGCTGACCCAGAACTTCATATCATAAGCTTGACGAAATTGCAATGCAAAAATTCGGTAAGTAGTCTAGTCAGGATCTAGTCTGTGATCTTAGACTACTTTTTTTTTTATAACAATTAGACGTACCAGGCATAATTGACTTGTTAATGTTGTGTACACTTCCTCCATAATATGTATTCTTTAGCCTAATAATTAGATTTTTAATTTAAAATAAAACAGTCTAGATTGAATGTTATATAGGCCCAAGATAATGCTATTGACTATTGTATAGGCCTAATTATTATAGTAGACCTATAGGGCTTAAGGCCTAATGAAATTGCTCTGCCTTGCCAATATGTTTTTAATTTTAACTAGTTGTGCATACTTCCTGCCCCAAGTTGTATGTAGATCTAGATCTGGTTAAAAATTAGGCCTTCTGGTGTCTTAACATATCTCATTTTGAACTTCTTTAATAATAGCATATGCCTCCATTGATAAATGTTGAAAAAAAAAACATCCTATAAGCCTACACTATGGGCCATTAGATCTCTAGTATATTAAAGTTGCTGTGCCTTAAGTTATTTAACATGTTGTGCATACTCCCTCCCTAAGTTGTATGCAGAACTTGTTAATAATTATTTCTGTCCAATGGACATCTGAAAATTTCTCTTTATTATAGCCTCCCTTTTAGAGAGTCTTTAGGCTATTATATTTTAATTGTTGTGCATTGCCAATATGATTTTAACTTTCTGTGCATGCTTCCTAAATTTCCTCCCATGTTGCACATGTAACTGGTTAAAAATTATTGTTGTCCAAATGGACTTTATTTAAAAATGTCTTCTCTTTATCAACAGTCTATAAGCTCTTATATTGAAATTGCTCTGCCGTGTCAATATTTTTAACTCGTTGTGCATACTTCCTCCCTAAGTTGTATGCAGAACTGGTTAAAAATGGCTGGTGACTAAGTGGATTTCATTTGATATTATGTCTCTCTCATTCTCTGTGTAAAAAGAACATCAGTTTATACTCCATTATATTGAAAATGAAATTGCTCGGCTGTTGCCAATATGTTTTAACTTATTGTGCATACTCCTCCCTAAGTTGTATGCAGAACTGGTTAAAAATGGTTGGTGACTAAGTGGACTTCATTTGATATTTTGTCTCTCTCATACACTGTTTAAAAAGAACATCAGTTTATACTCCATTATATTGAAAATGAAATTGCTCGGCTGTTGCCAATATGTTTTAACTTATTGTGCATACTCCTCCCTAAGTTGTATGCAGAACTGGTTAAAAATGGTTGGTGACTAAGTGGACTTCATTTGATATTATGTCTCTCATACATTGTTTAAAAAGAACATCAGTCCATGGTATTGAAAATGAAATTGTCCAGCTGTTGCCAATATGTTTTAACTCATTGTGCATACTTCCTCCCTAAGTTGTATGCAGAACTGGTTAAAAATGGTTGGTGACTAAGTGGACTTCATTTGATACTATGTCTCTCTCATACACTGTTTAAAAAGAACATCAGCTTATAGTCCATTATATTGAAAATGAAATTGCTCGGCTGTTGCCAATATGTTTTAACTCATTGTGTATACTTCCTCCCTAAGTTGTATGCAGAACTGGGTAAAAATGGTTGGTGACTAAGTGGACTTCATTTGATATTATGTCTCTCTCATACACTGTTTAAAAAGAACATCAGTCAATGGTATTGAAAATGAAATTGCCCGGCAGTTGCCAATATGTTTTAACTCGTTGTGCATACTTCCTCCCTAAGTTGTATGCAGAACTGGTTAAAAATGGTTGGTGACTAAGTGGACTTCATTTGATATTATGTCTCTCTCATACACTGTTTAAAAAGAACACCAGTCAATGGTATTGAAAATGAAATTGCCCGGCAGTTGCCAATATGTTTTAACTCGTTGTGCATACTTCCTCCCTAAGTTGTATGCAGAACTGGTTAAAAATGGTTGGTGACTAAGTGGACTTCATTTGATATTATGTCTCTCTCATACACTGTTTAAAAAGAACATCAGCTTATAGTCCATTATATTGAAAATGAAATTGCTCGGCTGTTGCCAATGTTTTAACTTATTGTGCATACTTCCTCCCTAAATTGTATGCAGAACTGGTTAAAAATGGTTGGTGACTAAGTGGACTTCATTTGATATTATGTCTCTCTCATACACTGTTTAAAAAGAACATCAGTCAATGGTATTGAAAATGAAATTGCCCGGCAGTTGCCAATATGTTTTAATTCATTGTGCATACTTCCTCCCTAAGTTGTATGCAGAACTGGTTAAAAATGGTTGGTGACTAAGTGGACTTCATTTGATATTATGTCTCTCTCATACACTGTTTAAAAAGAACATCAGCTTATAGTCCATTATATTGAGAATGAAATTGCTCGGCTGTTGCCAATGTTTTAACTTATTGTGCATACTTCCTCCCTAAATTGTATGCAGAACTGGTTAAAAATGGTTGGTGACTAAGTGGACTTCATTTGATATTATGTCTCTCTCATACACTGTTTAAAAAGAACATCAGCTTATAGTCCATTGTATTCAAAATGAAATTGTTCGGCTGTTACCAATAATATGTTTTAAATCGTTGTGCATACAGATCTCATTTGGCATGTCATCTTTGGTGCCTACATTTCCTTATTTGCCTACACAAATGATATAAAACAGCCTATAGTTTATTATTTTAAAATTAAAATTGCACTGCCTTTGTTGATATATTCCAAGTTAAATCTTCCCATTGAAACATGACATTGTATTGTTGGATGGGATTTCCTCCAGTCCTACATAATTTATTATTATGTAACAACATATCAAAAAATGTAGTATTTCTTAGATCCATGTACACAGCTGCTAGGCCCATGGTTTTCTTCCATTAATTAATTAAATCATGTGAGAATTTTAACAGACTTTAATAAAACATGGACAAAAATATACACATTGACCAATTTGAATTTCTTGTTTGGATTTTTTTAACCTTAATTTTTTGAAAATGGTTCTGAAATGTAGGCCTATCTAAGGTTTTCATTTCTAAAATTGTCAAAAATGTAAAGATGTATTGTAATAGGCAAGGGCAAAATAATGGTGATAAGTAAATATATTTTTAAAAGCCAAAAATAATATAGACATTAAAAACAGGTTTGCACTGACTAAATTCACTACAGATAAAATAATTTAGATTTTATGTTTGAAGGCAGGTAATAAAAGATTTCACCAGTTTCACATTTGACAAAATCCATGGGAAAAAATATATTTTGTCTTTCATGATTTCAACTTATATTAGTGTGCATTGCCATTAATCCAGCTATAATTAGTTGACTTTCTATCAGTTAAGCATAAATTATTGTCATTTGGTGTAAATCAAACCATTTTCTTACTAGTCAAATACTTCCTTTTAAAGCTTTTTGTGGTGTCTTTTAGTACTTAAATACCCAGTTGTCTTTAATGTTTTGCCTTTCACAATATGTATTTGCATATTGGCCTCCTATGAAGAGGATATGATTGGCTCAGTGCATTCACTCTCAATCCACAATTAAAAGGTTCTCCAGCGTGTGAATCAGTAAGCTGCAAATCCTTTTTATGTCAATTTATTATTCTCTTCCTCCTATTTGATGCCTTTGAGATCTCAATCAACTTCAGAGCTTCATAGGCCTACATGGTGTTTAAAATAATTCCTTTTCTAGAAATTCCATCTTTAAAACTATTAGTTGGTGGACCACAGCCCATGGTGAAGAATATTGAATATAAGTTTCAGTTGCCATTTAAAAAATAACATCTGTTTCCTCATGAAACTGCATTTTTGAATGAGTTATATTTTCCTTAATCCTATTTTGAATGTGCAAGTAAATAGAAAAGATATTGTCAAAACCTTTCTCACCAGTAGGGTCACTGTCACATTCTGTACCCAGTTTAGGCAACTACTACAGTCTATTATTAAGAAAGTCTGTAAAGTATTATACCTGTAGAGTGTGTCTGAGAGGGATTAGTTTCTGCAATCAAATGATCTGTCTCTGTAGTGGAAGACTACACTCTGACTTGCAATGGTCAGGCTAGTCTTAAACATGTTCATAAATGGTTAAGAATTTTGTATTAATTTAAGTGTTTTATTGAGGAATGTATCTACAGGTCACAGGTGTGTTTGAGAGGGATTAGTTGAAGACTACACTCTGACTTGCAATGGTCAGGCTAGTCTTAAACATGTTCATAAATGGTTAAGAAAGTTTTATTAATTTAAGTGTTTTATTGAGGTATGTATCTACAGGTAACAGGTGTGTTTGAGAGGGATTAGCTGAAAACTAAGTTGAAGACTACACTCTGACTTGCAATGGTCAGGCTAGTCTAAAACATTTATTAAATGATTAAGAAAGTTTTATTATGTCTTATGATAATGATAGAGCAGATAACAGTTTTAGGTTTTTAATTTTACAATGAATTAATCAAATGCTGCCTTTCTGTTTCAAGTGTACAGGCTGATTGGTGAACCCTAGAGAAAACATTAACTTGCAGTGGTCAGTCTAGTATGACAATCATAGACTACATTCTGATATACAATGATCAGGCTAGTCTATAGATCTATAAAGGGTTAAGAAAATGTAACTAATGCTGCATATATTCACATGACAGATAGTAATTAAAATTTATTTTTCTAGCCATTAAGTGGTCTCAAATTTGAATCTAATTGTTTTAACTTCTTGTGTAAATTACATTTCAAGAACCACGAAATGCACAATTCTTTCATAAAACTGTAACGGGCAACAATTTGTTCTGTTTGATGGAATTTCAGTCCACCTCCCTAACTAATTCTTCAGTTATCTTTTTAAAATACTTGCTCAATTTAGAAAGTTTTGTTTTGAATTCATCGCACATTCATCATATTGTGGCCAGTCAAACACTGCTTTCTTTCTTCATTCTTAAATGTAATATTTGAATTGGTTTCCTCCAATACACTGTGGCCCATTGAGTTAAATACCATGAGCTTTTCCTTTTTCTAGTCTTAAATTGCTTGTGAGGATAAACTTTGAAAATTATTTCATAATAAGGCATAATAAAGTACTTATACAAACACTGACATATTGTTTAAATTTAATATTTGTTTTATGGCTTTTAAAAATGTATGCATTAGTAATAAAAGTTGATAGTTCAAAAATTTTTGTTTGAACAAAAAATCTCTCCACTTGTCAAATAAGAATATTTACAGCGAAAAATGATGAAATATCAGGAGGCGACTTTGCTCAGAGACTTATTAATATTTAGTGTGGAGGCTTTCTTGATTATAGTATCACAGCTGTTTCAAAGTAATAAATTATTTTTTAAAATCTTCTGCTGCAAATTAAATTCCATCACAAACTCTGGTTTTGTAGAAGTTATTTATATGGGTCTGGTGGCTGCTCCATGGATTTAATAATATAAATTCCCTATCGACCCCATTGAGGTTAAAAAGCATAAAATAGCATGGCCATACAACTAAGAACAATGTCTAAAATAGCTGACAATTTACTTATAAAAAGACAACTCCCCTAAATGATTAAACATAACAAAAAGAACTGCATAATAGGCTTTCTACTAGAATGCTTACTCATATAAAAGAATTCACTAAATAACATTTAGACATTTTTTTTCTCCATCTACCCTATTATTAAATTTGGTGCAGAGAGCATTTTTCTTCCCTCTCAATGCTGAAAGGGACAGAATATATTAACCCAAAATAATATGTAGGCTATTGTTTAAAGCCTTGCAAAGCTCAAGGCTGCTTATTTTCTAGCTTTAGTTTAGCTTAGGTCATTTTAAGACATTTTATGGTCTTTTATTGTCAATTCTTAAATTTTATTTATATGTTCTAGACAATTTTATTGTTTTTATTTTCAGTAAATTTATATATTGTTACCTCAAGAACTCCATAGTGCAAGCAAGTAGAGTCCATGTTGAAGTAGAGTTCATCTGTTTTTATAACCTTGGCATATGAAAAGATTGTGTGGCCAGCACAATTTCTTGCAATCTTATTCTCTGTGACTTTTTTTTTATCGCAGGGGTTGGACTACAGTTATGAGCCAGGAAACCGTACTTGAGACCATACCTGACCATGCAATCCCGTAAAGCTGAACCAATAAGGAGTTGCTGTGTAAGAACTCTTCTTTGTCCTGACCACTTTGTTATAGGAACATTATACTGTATTCAAGTAGGTTTCCTTTATTTTTTCTTTACAATCTAATGTATTTGTTGTTTCTACATATTTACATTTTAAAAGCCTTTTGAAGACTTAAAGAGAAAAAATCAGTTTCTAATGGTAAAGAGTTTTTCATCACTATCAGAAAATCCTTAAATGCATTTTTCCTGAGTAATTTGTTTGCAAATTTATTACAGTTAAAAGAAGAAATAATTTCTCTGGAGAAATGCTGTTGATGGCCATAGTGCAAGGAAGTAGAGTCCATGTTGAAGTAGAGTTCATCTGTTTCTATAACCTTGGCATATGAAAAGATTTTGTGGCCAGCACAATGTCTTGCAATCTTATTCTCTGTGACTTTTTTTTTATCGCAGGGGTTGGACTACAGTTATGAACCAGGAAACCGTACTTGAGATCTTACCTGACCATGCAATCCCGTAAAGCTGAACCAATAAGGAGTTGCTGTGTAGGAACTCTTCTTTGTCCTGACCACTTTGTTATAGGAACATTATACTGTATTCAAGTAGGTTTTTTTTATTTTTTCTTTACAATCTAATGTATTTGTTGTTTCTACATATTTACATTTTAAAAGCCTTTTGAAGACTCAAAGAGAAAAAATCAGTTTCTAATGGTAAAGAGTTTTTCATCACTGTCAGAAAATCCTTTAATGCATTTTTCCAGAGTAATTTGTTTGCAAATTTATTACAGTTAAAAGAAGAAATAATTTCTCTGGAAAAATGCTGTTGATGGCCTTTACCCCAAACACCTTCACCACCTGCCCGTCTAGAGTTCAAAGCATTGTACAGGTACATAATGTTTAATTTGTAGTGTCTGATATTTTTGCTATTGATGAGTAATTTTAAATTTCTATTGTTCAATGGATAAAATAATTTTAGTGTGCACATTAATGTGTTGAAGACAATATCTAAAATTTTCACATTTTATGCTTAACATTTATGTCATTTGTATTTTAGAAAAGAGTGTGATCTACTGATGAACCAGTCCACTTTGAGTACATTGTGATTACCCTTCTAGTGTGTTGATGTCTACCTAGTCATTGTTTATGACAATTGCCAACCATTAGGACACGGCCAATTCCATTAATGTTGATGATTAATATTGTTAATGTGTCATAAAATTCACTCACAATATTTGTGCTCATTTAGTTATATACTAGCTTAATATAAGTCTGATTTAAAATGTAATTTATGCATCTAGCTTAAACACAGCTGCTCTATTAAGTTTGTTAAGAATGTATGTCTGACCTTATAAAAATTACTGTTCAGCAATTGCTTCTTTACTTAGGTAATATTTCCACTAGTTTCACTTTAGTCATATTGTCTCTAACATCCAGTCTTTTAAATACAGAATGTATTGGCCTTAAGACACTGCTGTTCCTTCTTTTAGTTTATAATTGTTAATAATTGTTTTGAAATGTAATAAAAGAAAAAAACATTCTATTGCTTTTTATTCTTTTATAAGTTTTGTTAAAATGTATACTAATTTTGTATATTTTTGTTCAATGTTAGGAGAGGTTCAGCCTTGTGAAATCAAATGAAAGTGAAGAAAAACCATAAAAAGCAACCTTAATTCAATATAATTTCTTCAGTTACATTGCTAAAATTTTAAATTGTTCATATCTCAAATCAATTTTCTCCAGTAAAATTATTTAAAATGCTATTAATCCATTCTATAATATGAAGCCATTCTGAGAATTTAGTCAGTTGACATTTTATATTTTTTGAGCTCACTGAAGATTGCAACAATGGGGGGTAGAGAGGATAAGAGTAGGAGCTCTACTACATTCATTTTGTCACTAGTTTAGCTAAATGCTAAGTAGGTTCTTTTCTTCATCCCCTTTACAGTGTGGCAGAAATAAGTTAGTCAAGCTGCAATTAATTTGAGTGAACTGTAAAAAAAAAACACACACTCACTAGAATACTCGAATGTGATGTTATCGATCATAATTAGCTAATTAACACAGTAAATTTTAACATAACGAAACTTTATAACTAATTATTTTTAAGGCGATATCCATTTATTTACCTTTATTTTTAACCACAAATGTTTATAAAATTACTATTGATTTATTTTAAGAAAGTCTTTTTAAAATTTCATCTCAATCATCTGAATAATATATTAGGCCTATTTTATTTTTGGAAGACAAAATAAATTCAGATTTTTAATAGGGGATATAACTTTACAAAAGCTGTGGAATAAAGTGATTTAATTGTTATTTCCCTATGACCATTATGGAGCAAGTTTGTCGATTGGTTATTTTTTAAATATCTTTAAAATTATAAAAAGCTAATTTATTTATTTAAATAAACTTTTATTTCTGATCAATATGTATATCACTAAATATATAAATATATATATATCCTTAACTAAAATAATTCAACTGTCTGTCTTTCCAGTCAATCTTCAAAAGAAAGCTGCTTAACTCTTTTAAAGCCAGTGAATAAAATATTTTAACAGTTATTTCCCTTTCAATCTCAAATGCAATTTTTTTTTTTTAAATTGAGAAGTTGCACAAAGGGATTCTATTTTTAAATTTGTTTTTGAAAGGTATATCGAATCAGGGGCGTAAGGGGAGGAGGGGTGCGGACCTAAAAAAAAAACTAAAAAAGAAAGTCATTTTTAAAATTTCATCTCAATCATCTGACGAGTTTTATTTTTGGAAGAGAAAAACAATTCAGATGTTTAAGAGTGGACATAACTTTACAAAGATGGAGAAAGTTTGTCGATTGGTTATTTTTTAAATATCTTTAAAAAGCTAATTTATTTATTAAATAAGCTTTTTTTAAATATGTATGTATATACCTATATATATATATAATATAACTAAAATTATTCAGCTGTCTGTCTTTCCAGTCAATCTTCGGAAGAAAGCGGCTTAACTCTTTTAAAACTAGTGAATAAAATATTTTAACAGTTATTTCCCTTTAATTGCAAATGTAATATATTTTTTTTTTCAATCGATAAGTTACCACAAATGTTTTTATCGTTGGGCGAAGTAAAACCTGCTAAAATTATATTTTAAGGTAGCTCAAAGAAAGATATATCGAATGACTATTTATTTTTGATTTACTTATTTTTAAATTAGACAACTTAAATCAAATAATAGAATTATATAAAATCATGATTGTTTAAATCATGCCAAATAACAGTTGTTTATTGTTATTAGAGAATAAAGATATGGGGGCGTTATTGATCACACTCACCCCGAATCTCAATCTCAACCTTCAGAAACAAACTCTTGCTCATATTCATTTTACCCTCACCCTATCCCTCACCCTCACCATTACACTAACATTACCACTCTCACTTACACTTACATAAACATTACAAATACCAATACCACGCCAACAAGAAAACTAACACTGGCAAACACTAACATTAACACACTTTCCTCCAACAACTCAGTGCTCCCTAATACTTCACTTTGTACTTTAACATTTTGCATACACGTCACTCTTCAAAACTTTGAGAAAATACATTCTTACCAACCATCCATATGTGGTCTTTTTGTACGATTTAGTTTACCTAATCAACTTTTTGACAATAGTCTTTGCCCAAGTGAATTGATTTATGTAAGAGCACGATGACAAATTGTAACAATCTTTGGCCACTTTGACCTATCGTAGCTTAAATGACCAGGATTTGACCCTAGTTTACCACAGTTTTGACCCCGGTGAGTTGTTTTAATTCATGACATGAAACCGACAACAACAAGCTTGGAACGCGGTGACCTATCTCGGCTTAACTGAATAGGATTGGACCCAAGTTCACCACAGTCTTGACCCAAATGAGTAGTTTTGAATAAATGACCGTGAAACCAACGACAACAATCTTGGACCGCTGTGACCTTTCTCGGATTCAATAAATAAGATTTGAACCAAGTTCTCCGCAGTCTTGAACTCGATGAGTAGTTTTCAAAACCTGACATCAAACCAACAACATTACTTGACCTTGCATTAAGTGCACGTAAACCTATTGGAAATAAGGGAAAATAACTTTTAATCCGTTCATGTTGGGTTAAAACGAAAAAAAACAAATTAAAATTAATCTGGCATCCATATGCAAATTGCTAATAAGCGGATTAGAGGGATTAATACATCAAAACAAAACACTAACACTAGAACTTACAGTAACACTAAAGCTATGACTAACACCAACACTAACACTCACACTAGCATTCACATTCAAACTCACACTCACACTCAAACTCAAACTAAACTTTACACTCATATTTAAAAATTACACTCACACTCAAACACATTAAAACTAACACTAGCACTAACACCTACTCTTACGCTGAAACTTACGACCATACTCACACTCACACCAACACTACCATGCTCACACTAACATCCACTTTCACATTCGCATTTACATTCGCACGCGAACACTAACATTCAAACTCATTCATTACCCACACCATATCCTTCATACACAACCACTTACACTCAAAATAGTATTTAAAAAAATAACACTTCACACTCTCACTTACACTACCATTTTCACTCACACTGAAAAACTCACACTAACATTGAAATTGACACTAACACTAAAACTGGCATCGACACCGACCTTGACACTGACACTGACACTGACACTCACATGCTCAGACTCACACTCACATTTTTATTAACATTATAAATGCCATTATAATGCTCTTACTAACGCTTACATAAACACTAACACACTGGCACTCTTACTCGCACTCAGACTCGCACTGAAACTAAAACTAACACGATAACAAACATTTACGCTAACACTATCATTTGATACAATTCGTGCCAAGTTTTCCTTCCACACTCTTCCCTCACTCAGTCACACCTTTTATTTAGCCAGCTCACACTTGACTATACCACCTCTCCACACTTTCCTTCAACAGGTGTCACCTCAGTGCTCCCCTCATCTCGTACTTCCACAGTTTGACTAATCACCATTGCACACTCTCCAAAACCTCAAATTTGGCCCTTCCACACCCTTCAAACTTTGATTAAACTTTGAGAAAATACATTCTTAACAACCAGCCATATGTTCTCTTTTGGTACGGTTTATTCCAAGTGAAATTGTATTATGTAAGAACACGATGACAAATTGTAACAATCTTCGGCCACTTTGACCTATCGTAGCTTAAATGGCCAGGATTTGACCCCAGTTTACCACAGTTTTGACCCCGGTGAGTTGTTTTAATACATGACATGAAACCAACAACAATCTCGGACCACGGTGACCTGTCTTGGCTTAAATGAATAGGATTTGACCCATGTTAACCACAGTCTTGACCCAGATGAGTAGTTTTCAAAACAAACAACAACAATCTCGGACCACGGTGACCTGTCTTGGCTTAGATGAATATGATTTGACCCAAGTTAACCACAGTCTTGACCCAGATGAGTAGTTTTCAAAACAAACAACAACAATCTCGGACCACGGTGACCTGTCTTGGCTTAGATGAATATGATTTGACCCAAGTTCTCCACACTCTTGACATGACATGAAAACAGCCATCTCGGAGCGCCGTGAACTTTCTAGGATTAAATACATACGTTTAGACCCAAGTTTTCGCAGTTTTGACCTCGATGAGTAGTTTTTAAAACCTGACATAAAACCAAAAGCATAACTTGACCTTGTATTGCTTTAGCTTAAACACTAAACGAAAAACGTTCACTAGCACTTACACTTACGCTTACTCTCAAACTCAAACTAACGAACTCAAACCTACATTTTCACTCACACTTATACTCGGGGGCGTCGCGAGGCGGGGGCGGGGGGTGCGGACCAAAACACAAAATTTCAAGATTTATAGAATAATTTTTTTTTACCAGTTCAATAAATGGTTTATTAGAGTTAAAAAGTATTGTAAATACAACTCTACGATCCCAACAAGGGAGGGGGGATGTAACACCATGACGTAAACATGCAAATTATAGAAAAAACAATGCTACACCCAGCTGTATTTACAACCGACTATAGATAAACATCATTAGTGTTAAATGTATTTAATGTGAATACTTCAAAGCTTTTACCGATAGGAAAGGGGGGGGGTGACACCAACTGCAAAATTTACAGATAAATTTAAGGGGGGGGGGAGGGGGTCGACACCATCAAGTGCCCCACCGGGTGGCGCCCGACCTAGCGACGCCACTGCTTACATTCATCCTCACACGAACACCAACACTAACATACACTCATACCCAGACAAACATCGGGCAACCTGTTTAAATTTAGTTAATGATAACACATTATATGACAGCCCTAGAGCATAATAGCACATTATACAACATTCCTAACATAGGAATTATATGACACGAGCCGGCCCGCGGCATAACATACGCCGCTATTTAGTTGTTTCTAATTTTCAATAATTCATAATTTGTGAATTCGACAGTACCAACGCTGACACTGAAAATATTTCTTTAAAACA